TTTCTTTATGCTAAGCTAAGCTAACCAGCTGCTGGCTGTAGCTTCATATTTGGTGTGCAGACATGAGATTGATATCAATCTTCTCATCTAACTCTTTCCTCAAAATGTACAAAATTTGAGGAAGAAGTAATGATTCCCATCATTCGGCATTGCTTGGCATCAATGTTACGGTAGAAATATAAATATATGAACACACATTACATTCACATCTCCACTTTTATGTCTACAGAGCTGACACAGTTGCACATTCACATATCTTTTATTTTGACTATTTCCTTCTCCACAAAATGTGTTTCTTCTTTCAGCCCCTTCCTTCTTTCTCTCCCTCTCTCCCTCTTTGCTACTGTTTATATCATTGTCCATGGGTCCTGTCGAATAGTCTTTTTTTACTTAGGAAGGTACCTACCTGAGTGAAAGGAGGAAGTATTTGAGTGTCAGCCATGATGAAAGCTGTTGAATTCTTTAAATGTTGAGAAAAGGTGCTTATCAATATAATAAACCCATTATAGGCTGACTGTGAACCCTACTTTTGTGAATATCTTTTTTTTTTTTATAGCCTTTATTTAATTGATAGTGACAGCCGAAGGTAGACAGGAAAGGGGGGCAGAGAGGGGGGATGAAACGCAGCAAAGGGCCGCAGGTTGGACTCGAACCCTGGGCCACTGCAGCAAGAACTCAGCCTCGGTACATGGGTCACCAGCTCTACCCACTGAGCTGGTGACAGACCGGGCACCCACTGTTGTAAATATCTAAATCTAATCCTGTGTGAAGCACTTTGCGTGTACATAAACATTATTATATTAAAATCATCAAAGTGAGGTTTATATATTTTAGTGTAATATAGCATTGGCATTAGTTATTCTTAATTTTGGGCTCTACTGTATTGCCAGCCTTTAGGAATATCATTTAAATATTCTAATTGTTCTTCAGTCACAGATGCTGAAACTAGTTTTATGTTTTATTGAAGGTTTTCATGTAAAGGAATTTGCCTAGGTATATTGGTGCATAACAATAAACACTGGACAGGGGAAACAAGTCAAGAAGCATGAAAAGATATAATATATATAAATATATATTTATATAAAATATATTATAAAGATAATAATAGACTATATGTACAATATGTTATTTTAAATGGCAGATTAACAGTTTGTGCAGGAATTTGCAAAATATCACAGCATTAAGTATAAAGAATATTTGTAATGTGCAGTAGAAGATTATCATATCTACAGCAGTAGATTTGTATGACTGGTAGCCAGGGCTGGACTGGGACAAAAAATCGGCCTGGGCATTTTGAGCCGAGACCCGCCCACCTACTTGTAACTACTGACTGTGTTAACAGTTAGCAAGCACAACAAAAATAAACTACACCCAAACTTGATTCATATCTGACCCAGGTAGACTGCAGTTCATCACAAGTTCAGATTCCCCTCCACTCGCACCGACGGCGGCTGCGGGTCTCTCCTCCTGCTGCCTCCCCTTCCCCTCATCCAGCTCACGGCCACCTCCGCCATCACTACCTGCGGCTGCTTCGGATGCTGCTGCTGCTGAAGATGATGTTATTTTAACACATTTGGCAGCATCTGCCTGAAGGGCTTGTCTCTTTTTAGCTCTAATTTTTTCCGCGCCTCCTTTCCGCTTCTTCTCCATTTTCGTGATCTCCTCTCTCTCTGTATGATTGATTGATTGACAGCCGAGGCCCAAGAGGGAGTGGGCATCAGCCAGCCCAGAATCAATCATGATCTACCAGTTTTGTGTACCAATAGGTATCATGACTAATACCATTACTAATACTAGTACAAAAAAAAACAGGCCCAGCCCAAAATCACCATCAGCCCACGGGGGGGACCAGTCCAGCGCTGGTAGCCTGTATTCTTGTTTTACTTAAATTTCCACCTTGGCAATGAAGACGTATTTTTCACTGGGTTGTCTGCGTGTGTATCGCCTAGATCAAACAGCACAGTAAGAATGAAGAAAATATCAAAAATACATTTTTTGTAGTCTATCTTCAACGTCCGCCGTTGCATAATTAGGTAGCGTAGTAGTGCATTCAGATTCTGTCAGCACTACGGTTGTCTTTTCCCTAAGTCCTTATGAGTTCTCCCTCACATCTTTCCTTGACCTTCTGACATTTTCCGTCAGGGTAAAGGAAAAGTGTTTAGGAAAGGACATAGGACCTACTTTTTATGACAATTCGATCAGACCCCATGTTTCATTCTGTGTCTCCCCCTTCTTCAAACAGCCCAACTTTATCAACCAAGAGCTGGGCGCTCCATTAACTTTATATTAATTTTACACCCATATATCGATGAATTACTGAATACAAATTACATAAAGACTTAATTTTTCTCTCTTACAGTCTACGTAACACTGGCAAGACAGAAGCTAATTTCTATTAATTCTAATAGTCACTGTGGGAAATAAGATGAAACTTTAATGATCCAAAATTAGGGAAACAAGGGAAAATGCGTCACTGCAAATCAAGAATTGACAGACAGCGGCAAATAAATGGAATAAAGATATGAGTTGAGTAATGGGGGTTGGATTAACATATTATAACTGACAGTTTGACACTGCTACAAAAGTTTCAAGTTATAGCATTATGTGAAAATTACAGACATCTCACGGTCTTCACCTACAGATGGAGAATGAATTTGTTCTTGTCGAACTATAACCTCAAGATGAACTTGGATGTTTATAAATGAACATAATGCATGAGTTTCAGGTACATGCAGCTTTATTTCTCCATCATTTCAGAGATCCAATATTACCATTTTTTTACATTCACATTCTACATTGCAATTGAAATTCAGTTGACCCCACTCCTTGCTTTCCACCTGATAATATTTGTTCCTCTGTGTTGTCCTCTATCTGTACTCTATACTTTTTTTCGAGTGGGTTGTCGGGGAAGTGTTTTTTTTTTTTAACATACACTCAGCCTTGTCATAAATGTAAGAGCTTGAACGTGAACATGCAAACAAAAGCTTAACTTAAACGAATCATCCAATAAATTCTTCTGAATGGAACATGGTCATTTGATTGGATGACAGCTTACTTTTAATGTCCTTATTATTTTTAGCCATACTAGCGTTGGGGCTCTGAATCAGTGCTGGTCAAGTCAGACCACCACTGGGTCTGGAGTCAAATATCTTAAAAAGAAATATTGGATGGATTGCCATGACATTTTGAACAAACATTCAAGGTGAATCCTAATAACTTGGTGATGCCCCAACTTTTTTCTTCTTGCGCAATCATCAGGTCAAAATTAAAAAAAAATATATATTTTTTTTCAAATAGCTAAATGATCAAATAGCTACACAACAAATTCCCATTAACTTCAGCTGCAGAGTTCGTGCTTAGTCATAACTGACAAGTTAGTTTAGCATGTTAGGATGCTAACATGCTAAACTAAGTCAGTTAACATGCTAAACATTACATCAGTGTGCAACATTATCATGTAAGCATTGTAATTGTGAGCACGTTGGCATACTGCGGTTAGCATTTGACTCCAAGTATCAACACCGCAGTGTTTTTGCTCTTCAAAATGGCCGTATCACAATTTCAAATGCTTGGAAGAATAATCTATGCAAATACTATAAGAACTATCCTTTATCATTAGGCAGTCTGTGTTTTTCACATTTAATATCTGCTTCAAAATAATCTCCCTGACTAATGTTGTTATGGAAAGTCCTGACTACTCAAGCTCTGACTGAGAAACACACACACACACACACACACACACACACACACACACACACAGTTTTCTTACTGTTAGCCATAATAACAGGTGTAAAGCAATTTTTAAAACTTGTTTCCAACCCTCAAATTATATTTTTCTTTTGGCGACTTTTAGAGTCAAAAAGCAATGTATGCAAATGTTATCCGCACACACACAACCCCCCACAACCACACACGCAGACACACACAACCATGTTAATATTTCCTCTGTTCTGCTCTGGTCTCATCAATGTCAATGTCGTCAGAATGCTGATTGGACAGGATGAACAGTCAGAGAGGGTGAAAGGGACACACCAGCTAGCAATTTGTCACCTTCTCAACACCTTGTTTTATTAGTTGAAAGAGATTATGTGGAGACAGAGTCAGGGTTTCACTGTACTCCATAAATGCAGAAAGATAGTCAGATGAAAGTGGAAACAAAGTAGAGAAATTCTGTGCAACTTTTTTCCAAGTGAAAATTGAAACCACTGTCTCATTAACTCTGGAAAAGTTGAACAGTTGCTACTGCTGGGAAGTAAGTTTAATTCCTCTGGAGTTGCAATAGGGAGCGAAAAAAAGGAAAAATGAGAGCCGACACCAGGGGAAATGTGAGACAGAGAGAGAGCAGAAGGTCTGTCTCTGTTGCCTTGTCAGAGCTAAAATCTGTAAAGTTAGACTTTTTGCCCATTGTGAAACCTACAGACAGGAGCAATAACATGGAGAAAGAAGTAAGAAAGAAAAGAAGTACGGAAGGAAGAGCAAAAGAAATAAAGTTTATATTTACACTGACATTTCTGCATGCAACTATGACCTCTCTTTGCTGAAGTTTAAATAATAAGACAGTGAATTAAATTGTGTTTTTAGGTACTGTACAAGGTCAAAAGGTTAGTACTAATACAAATGAATCGTGGATGTATAACAATTGCATACCAAGAACTGCCTGAGTGAATGAATGTCATTTCCCAGTGTCTCTCCTTCTCATACAAACACACTCATTCACTCACCCACTTGCAAATATTTTCTTTATTTCAGAGGAACAGCTTTGTAAATGTTAACAAGATTAAATGAAATTAAGAGTTGTACTACTTGTATATATTCACAGACATACACACAATTCATTCACACTTTTAGTTTGATTCAAGAGTAAATTCACTTTTAATCAAAAGAATGATTTGCCTCAACGGCAGTCTGATGAATTTCAAAACGGATGATTCAAACCTCCTTTGCTTTCCTCCTTTCTTATCACTTGTGTGCATGTGTCACTTCTGTGTGTCTGTGTTCAGGCTATAGACCCAGATCTGGGGGCAAATGGTCAGGTCCATTATCGTCTCGTCAACCACCAGAAGTCGTTTTCCATCAATGCCACCGGTGCGATCAGAACTGCGGTGCCACTGGACAGAGAGGTCAGAGGAAGTGATAAGTTCAGATTTCATATGAATGTCATGCAGTCGATGTGGAACGCAATATAAAAAAGACAGCAATAAATAGAGGCAGTGATGACAGTATAAATATTTTTTCGTACCTGTGGTGTTGATGTTTGACCGTGATTCTGTCATCTCAAAGGTGAAAGGCCACTACTTTCTGATCGTTGAAGCCTGGGATGGAGCGGTGGACCCTCGGCGATCCAGATTAACACTGTCTGTTACCGTTCTGGATGTAGACGACAACAGCCCGATATTCACCCAACAGACTTACAATGTCAGCCTACCAGAGAACAGCCCCAAAGATACAGTCATTTTACAGTTAAAGGTGAGCACGTTAATTTGATTTATTGGATTAATTCATTGCAACTAATTTAGTGTTACACTGTACAGGATAAGCTTTTGTATAAATTGTGAGTTTCCAGTTTCTAAATTGGCCCTTTTTGCAAACAAGAAATTACTCAACACTAGAGTCTGACCAATAAATGGCCCAGACTGATGTATTGGCTAGTTTTAGGTTGGTGCAGTTACATCTGTATCAGCCATTAAGTAACAAAAAAAAAACTGTACAGAAATGGCAATTTATTTATTTACTTTTTTAAACAATCTGTATTATATAATTTGACTTCAGCTGAGAAATGTACATCTCAGTACAAATGTTGGTCACAATTCTTTAAAGAAATAATTTTAGAAATGCTCATATGCTTAATATAATATATATATTATATACTGTTGTTAAAAAGTTTGGAATCGCTTATATTGTTTTTTTCCCTTTCTTTTATTTATGGCCAACAGATAAAAGAGCTATAAATCAGACACCAAATGTATAGCTAACATCTGAAATATCTTCGGCCCCAAAAAAGATTCAATTTTATTAATGTCCTCACAGTGTTGCATGACAGGGAAAAATACTGTTGTAACCAATTTTTCCTCCAAAGTACCCTTCGATTTTGAAATTGTGTTCCAGTCTAGAAAGACTTAAGTGACCCTTGATCATTATTAAACCAAACCAGTGCAACTGGGCTATAAATATTTTAGTAGTTCATAGTATGTTCAACTGATCTTCTTTGATCTTCTTTGATGCAATTCCAATTATGTGTGTCATTGTGGAACCTGTTCCTATTTATATCTGCACAGAGCTAAGCTTCATTTCTTACTAATAACTGGTGATTTCTTATATTCTGACTGTTGTGCAGAGGTATCTTTGTCTCTTTCTGCCCTTTTATTTGTCAGTCTGGTTGAACCATTGATTGTACAGTATTTATATTTTCGTATTATATATATATTTTTTTTTTTCATGTAATAACCATTAATTATATATAATTATTCATTTATAATATTATACACAACAGGTTGCAGTGTTATGAGTTTGAAATATTTATGATATTATGCACAGGTTATTACATTGAGTAATTGACTGGTTAAAGGCAGAGCGAGTGTCCTGGCAAAGAAAACAGTAAGAAACGTCAAGGCAAACCATCAAAGCCAATCTAATCTAATCTATTGTATTGTCACAATGCTGCTACGATAATGATAATGAACACTCACTACTGAATCAAAGTGTCCAACCAACTATAAATGTGTTCCACAATTGCTTGAAACTCATAAGTACAACATGAGATTAATGTTCTGAGTTATTACTGCACTTTCAACCAGTTTGGATCAAGCTGCCTGCAGGTCTAAACTGAGCAGTTGGATTCCGTTCAATAAAACCACTCATAAATTCAGTTTCTGAGTCCAGTCAATGAGACTTCATCATCATAGTCATACTTGAAGTTATTTACCTACATCTTCTTTGAAATTACCAAATTGCTTTCATTTTACATTCCAGACAGCACTGGAGACATCTTAAAAAGTCTGAATTTTAATTTGACAACACTTGAAGACATACTGAGTTGTAGAGGACTGTAAAAAAGATAAAAGCAGCTTTTCCCTTCAGCTACACAGTAAAATAGTTACAGAAGGAAAAATAAGATACGGACCACCAGCTAGGCTATAAATTTTCACCACAGGCGTTTCTCACATACGAGCTCAACACAGACCTAATGAAAATACTACAGTCTTCTACTAGTTTCAGCACACTGAGATGCTTGTCCTTCTAGCAAATATAAAAAATTCAACTTGCCATAAAATTCACACGGCAATGATATTACTTTCTTTCCCATCCTCTGACTCTCTTTCTCTGTAGGCGATAGACGCTGACCTCGGCTCCAACCTCACATATCGAATCAGAACTGACGGCTCGGACCAGGAAATCACTCAGCTATTCCACATCGACCCAGTGACCGGAGAGCTGTCTGTTCTCAAAGTTCTGGACTACGAGGCTCTGACTGACTCCGAACCAACATACACATTCACTGTAGAGGCCATGGACACCGAGGGAACCATGCCTCCTGGACTAACCTCTGTTACTGTCAGAATCACGGTGGGTGTATGTGGTTGGTTTGTCTAACCAAGCATAAAAGCAGAAGGATGAGGGAGGTCAATGTGTGTCTCATTTTTTGTTCACTGTCTTCAGTTTAAGGAAAGAGTACTGTATTGGGAATGTTGTGTGCAGGCAATGCAGGACTGACCAGCTATTTGAAAAATGAATGTGGAGGAGAAAATAATTATTGCAGTCTCTGGAATCCCTCTTTTGTATGTCCTTTGCCTCCAAGATTACTGACGCAAACAAAAACAAAATGCTGCTTTGTTTTTCCCTCCGGCTGCTGCTGCTATGTTACAGAGACTCCTTGTTCACTGTTTCTGATCCATGTGTATCCCGTGTATTGAAATTCGGTGGCCATACCAGTGTCTTTGCATGCATTAGCACATTTACTACATTTTTGTCAATGGTATATTCATGTCCTGTCAGGATGCTCTGACATCAAAGACTAAAGAGGTATAATTATAGCAATTAGCCTCTGATTTCTGTCCACACCAACACCATCTTTGTTTACTTGTTTTTCTTCTGCATCTCAATTTGACAACTGTGAAGCAAGTTTCAAAATCCACCATTTAGTCAGCCTGTGGGGAGATCAAAACATCCTCTGTGGTGTCTTGGGTTGGGCAAAATGTAAAATTTTTCAGTGAGTCCAACAATCAGCGATTACTGATATATTTGTGCATGCGACCTGGTGTTTCTACGAACTACCTTGTACCTGTAATCCATCGTCAAACTAGTCGAAATAAACCCTTAATTCACTGCAGTTATATGTAAAAATACACTGGTTCTACAGCTGTTTTCCCTCTCACTCGTTCTTCGGCTCAGTTTATATACTGCCCCGCTGAACATCTGTCACTCAGCGGCTCTCATTCTTCTGACGCAGGCCATTAAATTATCAAAATGAAAAAGATAAATACCAAAAAAGCCAAAAACAAAACAACCAACAATGGACCCAATCGCCAACCGATATATTTCCGTCAATCCTAGTGGTGTCCTCACTTTAAACTCACTGCTTGTTTCTAGCACTGCTGACACCTGCTGCGATATCCAAAATAAAACAGACCTTATTTGTTCGAATTAGCATTAAGTTACGGGCTGAATTAGCTCAAATTAAGTTAAATTTAATAATGTGATTGAAAGCAAACAGCATCATGCCAACAAAGTCAGTTTGTACAAAGTACGATTTTGGCACTTACTGGAAAACAAAAACAGTTTGGTGTACTGTACAGTCCTGTTTACAATGCTAATGCCATACCACTGTGTGTGTCTGTGTTTATCTCTCTCCAGGACATGAATGACTTTTCTCCAGTATTCAGCCAGTCAGTGTACCGAGGCATGGTTGCCCCTAATGCTGTCAAGGGAACAATCGTAACCACAGTGATGGCCAATGACTCTGACCCTGCGGTGAGCATTTCCAGCTGCTGCTATTCAATCAAACTGTTTTTCATCTGTTCCCCAAATTGTGTATGGGAATGATGCAAGATAATGATGCTTGTCTCCAGTGTGTGTGTGTGTGTTGTGTGTGTGTGTGTGTGTGTGTGTGTGTGTGTGTGTGTGTTTTGAATGTGTTTGCACTTTGTTCCCCAGTAGAGACGTTTTATTTTTTTTAACCCCAGTGTAGCACTTAGTGATACCTCAACTGGGCGTTTAACTCTAAATGTCTTTGTAATATAGGCTGGTTTATTTTGCTTGCTGTAAAATGAAGTTTAGCTCATTCCATCGAAGTTCCATCATGAGCCATTAGATAGTCTGGTGGAGTTAACCCCAGGTTTTAAAGGTTGTAAAATGCTCATACTGGGGTTTAAGTGTGGTGTGAATATAGCTTGTGTGGATTTGCTGAGTCACACAGCCTTTTGTTTAGATGCAGTTCTGAAACGCAGTGGCTGTGTGAAAAATAGCTCTCATCTTTATCGTAAACAGAAAACAACCAACTGGTAAATTTGCAATTTACTGTATAGCAAATCAGCAAATAAATATTTATGAAAAAGACCAGAAACAAAAGTATCTTTATTTTGCATTACTGCTCAAAAGTCCATGATCTTATTTTTCACTGGGCCATCGCTGTGTGAAATCTTTCTTCTACATAGGCAATGTTGCCCCATAAGCCTCTTTAGAAGCCCTGTGTTCTTGTGTGCTTGCTGTCTTCCTATATCAGCTGAACTGAATCAGTCTTGAGTTTTAAGCATCTAGCTAGACTTTCTTGGGTCAAAAAGAAACATTATATTGTCCATGCAGTATGCATTAGAGGCAAGCTACTAAGTTGCACCTTAACATCCCTTGAGATTTATATATATACATATAAAATTCCAAAATGTAGCTCTGAACTAAAAGTCTTTGTGAGAATTTGTCACAGTGAAGTTTTGCTGACACTGTATGAGCTGTTATTTAATGAAAGCTTACATTGAGCAGACAGCTCTGAATTGCTTATACAAAACTCATTTCAGGAGACATGACTGATAAATATTATGTAACTATAATAACGGTTTACCATGTATATTATTTTAATAAAAGTCCATATTGTTTTTACACTGCATGTTGAATCCCGTTTCGAGATCGCAATATGATAGTGAGACTGAATCTGTCAGTGGGGTTGCAGTAACCATGTTTAAATGGAAATAAGACCTTGGAGACCTTTCTGTTAACTGGCAATGTGGCTTTGTTGCAACTGTCTCGAAAATATAAGTCAACCAAATATAACTTAGTCATTGTTGAGGATTGATAGCTCTAATCAAGATGAAGCAATCAAACTCTTCATGACTAAGATATGTTGAGAGACCCTGATACAGTGTGGGTAGCCAGATATTATAAATTATGTAACTGTATGTATTTCCTGACATTTTGAGTTATACCAATCAATTGTTGCTCATTACTAACACTTACGGATTAATTCATGATCATTAGAGTGCCTAAAGACCTCGTTTATCCCCAATGGTGATGTGCGTGTCTTAACTGTTTCCTATGTATTTGGAAAAGGAAAAACTTTTTGACATTTGGCTCCAAACTAATTGCTTTGGGTATGAAATACTATAACATTCATTACACAGTCATTACTACAGTATGCTTTTTAATTTGATGCTACTTTGCAAACAGTGGCAGCATTCCAAGAAGCATTCCAGAGATATTTCATCTTAATGTCACATTCATCTAAATCTGTCATCCTAAGTATACTTGTTCTCTTCATAGGGTACCCCAGCAGGTCTGGTGCGCTATAAAGTAAACCTGGAGGCTTATCCATACTCTGCCAAAATATTCGATGTAGATGGAAAGACGGGAAATGTGGTAACCAGAGTAAACCTCAATGAAGAGCCCAACCTCAAGTTCAGTGTAAGTATGCACACACACAGTAACTTACAGGTCACCCATAATTTGTAATGTACACTAATTTGTATCCAGTGCTTTCCAACCTTGAGCTCGGACCCCCACAATGGGTCACAAGGTGAATTTAAGGGGTTGTGAGAGAATTTCCTGAGAAATACCTGAGAAAATACTACTTGCCATACTCGTCTCATGGTTCTAATTATGGCAATGCCAGTTTAATGAAATTAAACATTAAAGTAAACAATTGTTTGACTGAACTTCCAACAACTCATAGAAATTGACCCACAACAAGTATATATTGCTTTGTATTAAAGACACAAAAAGTTGGTAACCCCTGCTCAATGCAGCATTCAGCCTATGTCTCAGTGGCCTTTACATGACACTGATCAGAACTGGATCCCTATTGCAATACATTTTTAGTACAACAAAATCGTATTTTTATCTTACCTTTGCATTATTGACATTAGACATATGCACATCTACAATGAAGTGAAACAGCAGTCAAAGATCCTGCCACTAGAAAGATATTAACTTAACTAGACAGTAATTTATTCAACGTAACCATGTGGCAGTGAATCTACTCTATATCACAATGTAAATACAGTATGCAGCATCACTTAATGTAATTCTTAATCAATCAAATTGATCTGTTCAAACTGTAAACAATGGCACTGCCACTGTAGTCCAATAGAGACATCATTACTGGAGAAGATTTATCTGATGCATCCCTGTTTTCCTGTTGTTTCTGGATTAGGGTGTTTAGTGGTTTTGAGTATTGGGACGACATCACATGAATTGAGTCATTAAAAATGTATTTGATCATCACTCTCAGATTGTACTTCCTTACTTGTAGCGCTGGTGTACATAAAGGTGTCTTTGTACAGATCACTCTTATAAATCCCCATCCACAGTACAAAGTATACTGCAGTATCTTATTAGTTTCAAAACTGCCTTTTCCCAGCCGCACTCCTCAATGGGGCTTTGGGCCATGCTAATTTCATCTTTTCATTGGGCTTTAATTAACACAACAAGGATTCAGCATCCTCTGAAGATGTCACACAGGGGACTAATTCTACCTCGTTTGCTCCCAATAACTCAAACAAAATGAGTCAGTCCAACACGGTGTAAAATTTTTGAATTATGACTGAGATAAACACTGTCTAAGGCATCATTTTTACAAGGACACATACACAGTTGGACAATTTCATTGACATGTAGCAGATATCTACCTAATGTCCTTGTATCACATTATAAAGGCACCAAAAACAATTTTTGAAGCAGGCATAAGCAAGTGTGCAGGGCTAGAAACAGGTTTGTAGCCAAAAAGCAACCTATTCACATTGCTAGTACAGTTGCAAATAGGTCATCTGTGCAATTGAACAAGACAATTAACTACCACATGTTTCAGTAATAAGTTTCTGTTGTCCACACATTCAGCAGGCTGGAGACAATTCTTGTATGGATATAAAGAAGGTTCTATGCAGTATGAGTAACAATTTCCTTGCTAAATAAGAGGTAGGAAAAAACATTATCTCAATGTCTTGATATTTAAGTTTGTCCCTCATTAAGATTCCTTTGGGTCCAGTTAACAGTGCTTACCCCCCAATTAAATGAAGAAGAAAGGCTAAGCAGGAAAAAAATAAGCACACCAGTGGGACTCACACTCATCCTGTTCCAATTCCCATGCAAATAATGTGCTTTTAGAAGGCGGGAAACCAAGATGTGCGCATTTATTTTGGTTTATTATTACATTAGCTGCATTCATTTATGTGGTTGTGTCCACTATCCACTGTAAAAAGGTCTCAACTTGTATCTTTGCAATGTTAGTGGGCACAAACGGAGAGCAGCGGCAGCACTAAACAGTCATGTTGCAAGCAATAATCTCGATAGCTACTGAATGTTGTGACTTTATCTTTACCTTTCTGTGTCTTTGATTGGCAGCTGGTGGTGGTGGCCTATGATGATGGTGAACCTGCAAAGGAGAACACAACTCTAGTAGAGATCACAGTCCTTCAGCCGTCTGTCATTCCTGTGTTCACTCAGGAAGAATACAGGTACAAACACTCACACATACACAGTACATGTCACTAAAATCCTTAAAATTTTGGTCCAGGCTGATATGGCAATATATGCTGTTACTGGTAGTGATATTAATAACACCATAGTAGTGCCAGAGGCCTGTTTGAAATGACACATTCATGGATAACTGGAGTCAAGAAATGCATACAACAGTAGATATGATCATATGAGCAACTTGTGCATCTAAAGGCTGATTTATAGTTGTACGTAGGCATCAAGCCTACACCCTAGCCCTAGGAAAGTGACCTAGGCCGTTGTGAGCATTTATACTAGTGAGCTGGTGTGTCTGTGTTGCTAAGCAGATGTCACTAGTTGGGGTTTCTCTACCACTGTGTTGAGTTTCTTCATATACTTCAAACATTGCAGACTGAAACTGAAACTCCCTTTTTTTTTTAATCCCCCGCCGCCTTTAAAACGAAAGGACTAGGGAATACGAGGGGACAGACAAGCATGTCATGCAGTGAAGCAGCTTTCAGCGTGTGGCTCTTTGTCTGTGTGTGAGGATACAGTTGTTTGAGAATGTGTGTGTGTTTGAAGGGGGATTCTCAAATATTATTAGGTTTTGCATGAGTCACTTTCAGGGCGACCAATCACAGTTGTTGCACTCTGCATCTCTGCGACATATTACATATGTGGGAAGGTACATGTCAGGCAGTGTACAAGGCTATGCTGTACCTATATAGAACCAATTGCATTGATTCAACGCAGATGTATAAAAAAGGCTTGTTGTTGTTGTAATGTGCACATGTGCTGGCTCATATTGATCGGAATTTTGTCCAGTTCATGCATGTGTCATTTCCTGTGAATCCCTTGTGCACATGCATGCCATGAATTGGGATTATATGATGAAAGCCTTAAGAATTATAACATTAATGCATGAATTATTGCAGATCTTAATCAGAAGAGAGAACTTTCATAATTTATCGTTTAAATATGCTTTAGATCTCATTTAGATATATGACATCTACTTACATATTTCCCATTCATGCACCCATTTAAATGTTTACATGCAATTGTTTTTTTGTCTGCAGAAGCTGTAAATTACTAATAAAACACCAATAAACCTAGGCCCAGATATCACACAAAAACACACACACACACACACACACACACAGAGTTTATACTTGCTGTCTAAATGTGGGAATGCAGCCATGTAGTTGTTGCAAGAGTGAAAATCCTATGGAGAGAAAGGGACATTCAGCTTAATTTCACACGCTCAACCAAAAAAAAAAAATTGGGTGGCAGTTTCTCCTCCGACTAGGACAGATGATTTGTTTTTCTGGCAAATTAATGAATGGCATTAATATAGGTTTAATTAAAATATGGAGAGGAAGGTTTAACATGCAAAGAACAGAATTCATTATTAACTTTTCTCTGATGGATTAAAGCACAGAGCACTTAGTATGGTTCTACCACATTTCACTTTAAACCATTAAAAATACTGAGACACAACCATGCATCACAGTACTGGGCAGTAGAAAATCTTTCTCAGATCGCACACACATACAATAAACCAGAGGGTGTTAAGTCTGAACAGTGTGATTATTGTTTATTTGCTTAATTCTATTTCTAATTCTTGGCAATTTTGTTTTCATAATATAAATCCCAGAATTCCTCTCAAAACAAAGTAGTAGTAGCATCAACTTTGAGAAATGCTGGAAATGTATTAAAAGAAACAGACACTCAATCCAAACACGTAAAAGGGCACATTAGTTGGTCGCTTCCTCTCACCATTAGTGGCTGGTGGGCTGGACAATGCATGGAATTTCCTCTCAGTTCCTTTGCGTGCGTTTCTGATTTGAATTTTGCAAAAATGGCAAATCATGCCCCCCAGCAGTGGAAAAGCATATAGAGAGCTGTTTACAAAACAAGAATACATAAAATGCATGAAGAAATGCCATAAAAAAATTTTGTCTAATATTGTTCTTTTAATCTGAAAACAATAGAGTGTTTTCCTTCATTCTCTAGCTGGAGAAATATCTATCCACTGAAGCTGTAAAACAGCAATAAATGTGAAGCACTGGCATCACATTTTGTAAAGACAACATATATACACTAGACCCACTCTTTCAAAATGCCAATACACTCAGTGCTCACACACTACAAACATTAATAAATTATGCTCTTACCTCATGTGCAGACACAAACACAATCATTCTTAAATCCTCATTATAACGCTGGCATGTGGCACTTGTTTTATGAGGTCATGGGTTTTCCTCAGGTTTTCTCTTCTGTGATTGGCTGAGTAGACAGAGGGCATGTGAAATTGGCTTATAATCTACAGCTATTATCTCTCCGTTTCTCTATCTTGATCTATCATTGTTTCAGTCTTATCTCATCTTTCATTAAATATACAAACATTTTTCTTATTTACTTTTCCGCTCGTTCTTCTCTGTCCTGGTGTTGTCATTCTCTTCCTTTTCTTTGCCTTTATTTTTCCACATAGCAGTAGCTTCTAATTTCCTGTCTTAATACATTTTCTTCCTGCCACCCTGCTTTTTTCAGCGCCTCTATATGTCTTTTTCCCCATAATGACGTTGGACGGACTGAATTGGTCTCCTTCCATTTGCTTGCTTGTTATATCGTCTGTCAGACACAATATTGAACACATCACACTTTGATGAAAATTGCAGAAGGGGATGCTTATAAACATCATATTTTTCCAAATGTTTCAAAATGACTGTTTTGAGCGGAAACAGTATTCAACCTCTAGCCAATCAAAGTGAGCTTTTTGTGATTGATTATTTGTTGGAGGGATGGCATTAGTTTTGTGTCACTTTTATTTTTTCTCGCAGATCTTGTTTGCTTTTTTTTGTGTCTCCCTGTTTGTCTTCTCTTGTCTACCTTCATCACACGTCAAAGCATTCCACGGTTTTATATGCAGAGAATGTATCTGTGATGCAACACACTTTCACATAGCTTACATGCCATCTGTCACACATCATGCAAGAAGAATCATCCAGCTGCTTCTGCGGCAACTCAGTATTTAACATTAAGTCCAACAAAAAACGCACCTTTGATGCTAATTTTCATAAAAGAAACGTATCTTTACATTTCCGTTGCTTTTAGCATACTTTATTCAAAGCAAGGGCATCATAGGCTCGAAGCTAATGAGCTTATTTTGGGGTAATTTCCAACTTCAGTGTCAATACATACATCATTTTCTAATGGGTCAATCGATCAATCAATCACTGTTACTGACCAAATTACAAGATGTCAAGGTTTGTCTTTTACACAGAGCAGAGTAAAGCTCCTCTCTATTTTTAGGAAAGGGGTTAGAGGCAAGAGAGAGAGATGTCAGCCAGCCATATAATACTGCATTTATAAATATGTAATATAGCTTCGAGCTAAAGGTGTGTGTGTTTGCCCGTCTATGTGCGTGTAGAATCTGTGTGTTTTGTTTGTTAATCAATACACAGTACACCATTAATGTATGCATGCACACGTTTGTATGTTTGTGCACTGTGGATGTTCCTGTCTGTGTCTGGTATTTTTACATTTTTTTGCCTGTGTTTTTAGAGAGAGAGAGTGTGTGTGTGTGTGTGTGTGTGTGTGTGTGTGTGTGTGTGTGTGTGTGTGTGTGTGTGTGTGTGTGTGTGTGTTTGTGTGTGTGTGTGTGTGTGTGTGTGTCTGTATGAAAGATAGTGTTTTTTGTTCTTGTAATTCCAAGTTGTATTCACACAAGAGTACAGTGTACCAGCTTTGAATTAATTATCCCAGCTTTATTGACTAAAAGCTAACTATTGTGCTCATGTGGTTTTAAGAGCTTACTAATGTAGCTTAATGATTTTGTATGTTTTCAACAGACAGGCCTCTAGCCATGGGCAAGGCTGAGTTACTTATATTGATTCTCATGTTAAAAAAGATAGTGATTGTGAAAGAAGGGATCTGTTGAAAGTAAGTTTTTGGCAAAGTGTACATTTAATGTTCATCACTAGATTAAAGCATTTTGTATGTGCCGTTACTAACCCTAACAGGGAGTTAGGTTAGAGCAACTATGTGCTGACAGTGTGACACTGTGCCAAGCAGCAATGCATGCAGCTATATGTGATAGTATGCCTATCTATGCCTAACTCGTAAGTAATGTGACACAAGTTAGTAACAAAGTATTACACATTTATTTGTTTGTTGGTTGGTTTGTGTGTTTAATTTTAATAGCATTTCAAATAAAAGTACCCCCCTTTTCACATGTTTGGTTTAGACTACAAATATCTGGAGACTACTGTAGGGTGACACAATAAAATAAAAAATGTAAGAAAAAAGATTACTTGAATCTGCTACAACAGACTGTATTTAAATAGTTTCCAGCCCTCAACTTTGAAATTCTTGGTGTGTGACCCTGACCAGGATAAGCCTTAGATGAAAATGAATTAACAAACAAACAAAAATTGACAACAACACAAAGTGACAGTATATGCACAATAAAATGTCAGTCTAATCTCAGTGTATCAGCGATAGAAGGGCGCAAACTTAAATTGTCACAGAGAAAAAACATGGACCCATGAGATGTGAAATTATACATATAGTTCAGGCCTCAATAAAAGATTGTGGCCAGGCAACCACAAAACTTCAAAATAACCCAGACTTTCAATAACATTTGTTGCTGAAAGCCCTACTGATAAAACATTACCTTACACTTGTTCGCAAAACCAACCAAATAATCTTGTGAGAGGTTGTAAAATCATACTCACAGCATCTTTTGAAAGTAACTAACAGTAGAAGAAGAATACAATATGCATTGGAAACCTTATACGGAAGAAATTATACGCTCTACAATCCAGAAAGAGTTCAACTTACTATAAATAAATTTGTTTACTTATTGATTTTTCACTGTAATCTGTGAAACCTGTTAACTCTACGTGTATTGTAAGACTGTTAGCTTAGTCTGATCACAGTGACACATTTTTTGTTGTTTTGGCTCAGTACTCCAACAAAGTGCATTTCAACTGAAACAGCTCAGCTTCAAGTGTGTTTT